TCAGGGCACCAATGTGATGTCACTGAATACAGAGTTGGGAATAGATGTGTGGTAGCATTATATGCTACTTACGATTACAGTGTACAATAAATACCATTGCTATATAACTCCATTACTAATAATACCATTATTCCCACCATACATAGATGTAAATAGCCTCAAGGGCACAGATAATAGTAATGTAGTAAAATAATTGGGAAATTATTAGTTTTGATTATTGATTACCTTTGTTTTTACTATAATGTATTAATTATAGGTTTCTATAGTTTTTTTTAATGGTTATTTAATAAACAGTTCACAAAAGTCCTGGACATTTAGGAAATTATTTATTTATTTACTTAAATTAAGCTCCACACCCAATGTGGGGCTTGAACTTACAACCCTGAGATTAAGAGTTGCATGCTCTACTGAATGGGCCAGGCAGGCACCCCCTAATTCCTGAAAATTTAATAATCAGCTTTTGTGAACCAAAATAGCCAGCCCTCCCAGGAGGAACGTGCTATCCTTTATCCTTCAGAAGGGTGGTTCCCCAGAGTCCCTATTTTGATGGGACCTACTCCTCCCTCTGGTACCCTTGGTGTGGGGTGGGGATGAATGAGAATGTGTGACTGCTCTGGTGCCTCTGGTGGCCATAGAATCTGAAGCAAAGGAGGAGCTCTTTCTCCAGGCACACTCCTGGGCTTAAACACCCATCTTTGGAGGACAGGAATCCAGTCGCAGAGGTAAGAGAGTCGGGAAGGACTAGATAAGGAAGTTCCAGGCCCCCTAGGTTCCTAGCCTTGGATCTTAGGCCCATTGTTAGCTTCTTGAACCCATTTCTTCATTTTTTTAAAGATTTATTTATTCATTCATTCAGAGAGAGAGAGAGAGAGACAGGCAGAGACACAGGCAGAGGGAGAAGCAAGCTCCATGCAGGGAGCCCGACGTGGGACTCGATCCTGGGTCTCCAGGATCACGCCCTGGGCTGCAGGCGGCGCCAAACCGCTGCCCCACTGGGGCTGCCCTCATTTCTTCATTTGTACAGTTGGGTGACTTCCCACCTGTGCTGTCCATTATCTAAGGCTCTGGAGAGGGTGAAAAGCAGAAAGGGCCAGGTAAGCTGGGGAGGTACAGAAGACAAGAGGTCAGGCTGTGAGGGCAAGTTGTTCCAGTGCTATCATTCACAGGCCCCGTGATCATGGGCAACTTCCTCAGCTTTCTCAAACTTCAGTTTTCTAAACTATAATATGGGTGCCTAGGTGTGTGTAGAAATGGTACCACCAACCTGAAAATGTTGCTGAAAGTCAAATATGGACCTATATAATGCATTTAGTGCCTTGATCAATACTGGCTTTACTGCCATTGCCTCCAGCCAGATCCACAAAATAAGTCCTTGTCTAAGAATGAAGAAACGAGTGTTGTTTAGACAGGTCCATCTGAAGGACAGGACCTCCCTCTCCAGCCCCCCCTTATAGCTCCAATGATCCTGCCTGCTGCCCCTCCCTCTTTCCCCATCTGGGGCATGCTGGCAGCTGGGAAGTGGGTGGGGAGCCCAGAGACAAACTTTTCATGCTTCCAACACAGAGGGTGTTTTGTAATATTTTCCAGCGGGATTGGGTTTCTCGAGACTTCTTGGTAAGAAGGCATGCAATGGAAGGTTAAACTGGTGGGGAGAGGGCTTAGAGTGAGGAGAAACTTCAGATCAAACCAAATCCTCTTCTCCCCTCCAAGTCACCCGAAAGCTCTAACTCCTGAGAATTTTACAATGTTTCCAGGAGGACTCACTCTCCCTGAGGAAGTTAACACTGATAGTGCACCACCCGCCCCAGGAGTGGGGCTATTTCAGCATTGAGGGGCTCTGGCAAGAGCGCCTGGCTAAGCATGGGGGCCTCCGGAGGCTTCTGATGAGGCAAGTGGGAAAGCAAGGGGAATAAAGAAGCTCTTGAGGAAACCGTCTGGCTCACCTTTCATTATGCCACTTGCCTGTTCATCACCTCTCTCTGGTTCTTTCTCACCTTTGAGAAGAAATCAAAAGTTCTTCACATGGCTTGTGAGCACCAAGTCTTCAGTGTTCAGGGTTCAAATCCTGGCTCTCCCACTTACGAGCTATGTAATCTTGGACAAGTTAGTCAATGTCTCTGAATGCTTCAACCCCGTTAATAAAGAAGTCCATACCTCAGATGGCTGTTTTGAAGCTAAAATGAAAAAATGTAGGTAAGATGTTTACACATGACCCAATAACATCCAGTCAATAAACAGAACAGTAAAGACAAATTAAAATATTTTTATTACCAGCTTACCAGTCTAGATTCATCTCCTGTCACTTCCCAGAATGCAATTACCTACAGAGATTAAATTGCTTACAGCTTTAGACATTTTGGCCTCCCATGTTTTTGTGTGCTTTTCAGCACCTGGCACATAGTAGGCACTCAATCTGCAAAACAAACATCTATCTAGAATTACCTTTACACCTTTCTTTACCTGGCAAGTTCAGTTGAGAGGTCCCTGCTCCAAGAAGACTGCCCTCTACCCCCAGGGGGGTGGCATTCTCTTCTGCAGCATCCTGTGCACACATGCTTCATGGTACTGTGCTACTAATACTGTTTTCATGCCTTTTCCCCCCTTGGGACCATTAGTTCTTCTCAAGAGGAACCTGGTCTAAGGCATAGTTGCATTCCCAATGCCTAGTACATGGTAGGTACTCGGTAAATGCTCAGCTTAAGGAAGGCCAGTCACTTGCCCCCAGACTGGGAACCTACATCCCAAATACCTCCCAGGACCCACTGCCCAGTAGGTTCAGGAGGATGCAGGTTTCCAGCATGTTTGGCCAACAGTCAGCCAAACCCACTTCCCACTCCTCCTAAGTCAAACCCTGCTTCCCCTCTGCCCCACAACCCCCTGGCTGAAAATGGGAGGAAACTGTAGAGAGTTTCTTGAAATTCTTGCTCATCAAAGCTACCTTTATGTGTTTCCGAGCATTGATATCATTCCCACCTGCACTTAGTTGCCTGGGGCAATAGAAAATGAGGAACTCAGTGACCCAAGAACCTGGGGTGCTGCCAGCAGTTCAGTGAGGTCTGCTCTACAGACCTAGGCATCAAATGCACATGTACAGCCTCCAGCATGCAAGAACTGAACTGGTTATTTCTGTGCCATTCAGACATTAGATTAATGAAGGCAGGAATGATGTAATCCCTAGTCATTTCCTGGGGTTTTATTTTTTTTTATTTTTAAAATATTTTATTTATTCATGAGAGACAGAGAGAGAGGCAGAGGGAGAAGCAGGCTCCATGCAAGGAGCCTGACATGGGACTCGATCCTGGGGCTCCAAATTCACATCCTGGACTGAAGGTAGCACTAAACCACTGAGCCACCGGCTGCCCAATTTCCCAGGGTTTTAGAACAAATCTGTCTCTAGATGTTAATGGTTCCTCTGAGCTTATGGGTTCCTCTTGGAGGAACCCAATGGTTTAGAAGGAACCAGGCAGCAACCATCTCACTAGAGTCACTGAGGGGCCAGAATTGTGTCCTCTGGCCAAGGGGCAAAGATGGGGGTGGGGCCTGGGCTTTCAGGTAAGAGTGTAGACTGCAGGGTAAGGCCAGGGACTAGAGAAGGCAATGCTGTCAGCATCCCCTGCTGGCCCATTAGGGAGCATTCCACTTGGGGAAGCAGGAACGCCCTCTGGGAAGCTTCCAAGATGTCCACATTGGGTTGCTTTGCCCACCTGCAGGCCATCCAAGAGGTTGTGCTGGGTGGCAGTGTTCCCCTTCCTGGGCAGAGGTAGAAGGCTATTCCTTCCCTTAGAGCAGGGATTTACAGTGGACTCAAAGTTCTAAGAGGACAGTCCTATGCAGGGGGGAAAAGGATAGTGAGTCTTAGGAAAGAATGATTGGCCCACAATGACAGAAGCTGGCACACCAGTGGCTTCCCACAAGACCTAAAAACCATTCTCAGGTCCCTGCCTGGTAGGTAAGACCTCATACAAGCCCCCACATGTGGTTGCCTAAGATTCCCTGAATCTGTACCATTCACTTCATCTTACTCTATCTCCTATTGGATTTTCTTTTGGGGGGCAGGGGTTAAGCATATATATTTTTAAGATTTTATTTATTTGAGAGATTCTATTTATTTGAGAGTGAGCGAGAGAGCACAAACCAGGGGAGTGCCAGACGGAGAGGGAGAAGCAAATTCCCTACTGAGAAGAGACACCCTCCCCATGCGGGGCTCAATCCCAGAACCCTGAGATCATGACCTGAGCTGAAGGCAGATGCTTAACCTACTGAGCCACCCAGGCACACACCCCCCCATTGTTAACTATTTCAAGTGGATGTTTTGTCTTCATGCCTATAACTTGACTTCAGAGGGCAAGGATCTTGTCTTCTTTCTTTTGCATTCTCCCCACCACCCGGTAGTGTTGGGCACAAAGTAGGAGGCTCAATAATACATGTTTTGTGCATCAAATTCCAGGGCCGATCCAGTTTCTATCACATTTTTTTTCCTAAAGATTTTTTATTATTTTTAAGTAACCTCTACAGCCAACGTAAGAGCTCAAACTCACAAACCTGAGATCAAGAGTCCCATGCTCTACTGACTGAGCCAGCCTGGGCGGGGGGAGGGCTTTATCACGTCATTAAGAGATCTCACAGGGTGCTTGCTTTCTCCAAATGCCATTTTAGCTTCCAGGTATCTAACAGAACTCATTTCTACCTTTTTTGCGTCTGATTTTTAACCTGTTTGTGGGACTTTACAAAGTATTCCAGACTTCAGAAATATACCCTTGACAGAGAGAGGGTTTGGAGAAAACTCCTCCAGATAAAGCGTGGCTTCAGCAGGAGCATCACCCACCTTGCCCTTGGCCCCATGGTCTCCACTGGGGCCAGGGGCCTGTCCTCAACTGCTAGGTGCCTTTTCACAGCCTGTGTGAAGGGAAAAGTGCTTGTGGTTGGGAATCTTGGGGTATGACTCCTGAAGCCTGAGGGAGGGGGGAGAAGGAACAAGGTGCTGCAAGAAAAAAGAACAATTGCATTTTTGGGATCAATTTTATTTGGGCTTCTCACAGTGGTTAGAGCCACTCTGTCTTCAGAACAATCACAGCACAGGAAATGCGTCACCGAGACTGCCCAGAAAAGTCTGACCAGCTGAATCTTATTGCTTAAAATACACATATTCACAATAACTGACAAATGGTGATGTGCCTCACACAGGAATGTGTTAGCATTTGCAAATCTTCCGACTGTAGCACCAAACCCTCAACCAGACCAACCCCTTCCTCCTCCTTCACCTGGAAAACCAGATTCAGTCAAATCTCCCTAGCCCCCTACCGAGTCCTTTCAGCTCCCTTTTGTACCTCTCTCCCAGCAGGGGAGCCCATGGGCAGGGGCCAGACTGTGATGGCTGGAATCAGGCCTGGCTCCAGCGGCTGTGGTCTTCTTCTCAAGCCTATAGGGCAGGACGCTGCAGTGAACCCAAAAGTTAACACGCAGACCAGTGCCCTGCTCCAGCTGGGGAAGGAAACTTGGGAGGGCCAGAATTCATCCATTTGATCAGTTAACTGAAGCAGGATTCATTTTGGTAAAATTTCATCTCCTTTGAGACTTCAGTGAGTTGTTTGGGATTTTATTAAAAAAAACAAAAAGTGGAAGGAAAGGCATCTGAGGGCTGCTGACACACTCCCGCCCACTCGTCTCACACAGGCTTGCTTGCTTGCATACGCCGGACCTCGGCAGAGAGAGGTAAGCCCTATGGCACTGCGGTGTCTGCCAAACTCTCCTGGCCATTCCGGGCAGGGACAACGTCTGGGCCACAGCTAGTCCAAGCTCATCACTGAAGATCCAATCAAGCTACCTGAAATCCCACCTTTGCCTTCCGTGCTGAGTGGTTTTAAACACCCCCTGGGACTGATACTGAGGGCCAGGAGGAGCCAAGGGATGCAGACAGGTTCAGAGCACGTTTCCACTTATAGGGAACAGAACACAGGCCTCCGAGTGTCCACGGAGCAATGTGCAAATTGCAGTGATGGGTAGAGAAAAGCCTCTACATCGAGCACAGTTATATCTGGCAGATGTGGGGGGATTGGGGGATGGGGATGGGGGCTGCCATCACAATGCTGCTGGATACACTCGAGTACACAGTCAGACATTTGTTCAGTAAACAGTAAATGTGTAAAATAAATTACCTTGAGAGGGCCATATCTGCTCCAAAGTGTGGTTGATGTGAGCACAATGGCTGCCATTCAAAGTATATTCACAGGAAAACAGGGTTAGGGGCTCACACAACACACACACACACACACACACACACACACACACACACACACACAGGCTATCCAAAAAGTCATTGTACACAGACTTCACTTTGTTCAACATGGATTTTGGTTTTGTGGACTCCAAATGCAGACATTCGTTCGTTCACCTCACAGCCTTGGATTTGTCTATTTTTTGTACATATATATATATATTTTTTTCTCCTTTCTTACTGTAACCTCAATGCCTAATGTGAATATCATCGTTCAAGAGTGGGGGAAGAACCAAACTCTTCATATGAACAGCACTGGACAGGGAATGTGAGTTTTAGCTGTTTGCTTTCTCCATCAGGTTATTCCTATCAAAGCTCAACTGGTTATCTGAAGCCAAACTACAGTAATAAGGATCCTGCAGTCCTTCCAGAGCACTGCCTTCACCCTCCTACCTGGGCCACTTGGGCTGTTTACATAGGCTACAAAAGTTAGCCACCCCACTCACAAAGGGGGCTGCGGATAAGGCAGGGGAAAGGGCATGAAAGCCACAGATAACCAAGCCATTTCTTCCAAGTGGTCAGTTTAAAAATAAAGACAAAAACAACACAACAGAAGAACTTATTCAGAATCAAGAGAAAATACTGTGTAAAAGCCAGGCTATGGGGCTGCCCTCTCTTAGGACCTGTAGCCCCCTTTGTTCATATGGAACAGTGAGACACAAGGGCCTGCGGGCTGTGTGTTTGGGTTGGGGAAGACCCTGGTCACCTATAGGCACAGACCAGAGGACAGAGATGCAGCAAGCTGCAACAGATCCACCTCCATGGCCTAGGTTCTCCTGTGCTCCCACAGAAGTTCCAGAGACAGCCCCCACTCCCACCCTGCCACCCACCCAGGCCCAATGCCTGCACACAAAACACCTCCTCCTAGCTCAATGGCAGCCAGCCAGGTTCTTTGAAGGTCAATTTGGGACAGAGCCACAAACTTCCCCTTTCCAGAACAGAATTCTTGCCTGCCCGCTGGTAAAGTTCTTGCATTCAGCTTGCTTTTGTTGCTGCTGTTGTTGCTGTTTAAAGAGAAACACCAAAGAAGGTGAGAGAATGTTCCATACTGAGCTGGGCTGTGGCTAGCCAGAACCCACTGGGAAGGGCCCTTCAGGGATGCACGGTGGTACATCAACTCTGTCACCTGGAATCTGAGAGAGCAGTAAGCCTCCTACCAACCTCATAACTGCCTGTCAGCCCTCATCATCTCCCAGGGCTAGCCCAGTTCTGGCTCTGCAGACAGACACTGGCAGCAAGGGGTAACGATCCCTGGGGCGCCGTGGGCTTCCTTCTTCACCCAGGGCTGAGACCTGCCACCCCTCCCAGACCGAGACACAGCAAAGTTCTCTGAAACGAACACCAGGGCACAGACCCACTCCACCACCAAGAGTCACCTCAGGGCACAGTCTCAGCCCCCTCCTTGGGGGCTTCTGAAACACACATCTCTCTGACCCAAGTGGGTAAGTGAGACATGACTTGCAAAGAGAAGAAAGGGGACAGGGTCGGGGATGAGGAATGAGTCACAGAACGAACCAACTTCTCAGCCCTCCGCGACACTGTGCTCCCGTGGGCGGAGAGGCATCCACTCCCCAAGCTGTACCTGGAGATGGAGGAAAATGCAGGAGCGGGCGGTGGGGAGGGGAACGAAGAAGGAAGTGGCTGTACCACTTTCTCTGAAAGTCATTTAATGCTTCTCTCAGGGGGCTCCCCTACCCTGGTTGCTCTGCCAAGTTCTCAGGTGCAGGCAGGGCCTGCTCTAGCTGGGAGAGCTGCTGCTCTGGGAGTTTGGGGAGTCCTGCTCATTGATGGTGTTCAGCAGCAGGCAGGCGGGGGGGCGTGGCAGGTGGGGGTGCCCAGGCTCTCGGGCCTGCTCCTCGGAGGGCTGACAGAGCCCTTCCTCCTCGTCGCCCGGGGGCCGCACATGGCAGCTGTCACAGAAGTCCAGGGGTCCATCCAGAGCGTCGTCAATGAGCGTGTGGAACTCCTTGAGGTCATCGTCATGGTGGCCCCGGTTGCACACACACACCTCAATGCCCGAGTCACCCGTGAAGCGGCGGTGTCTGCCAGGCGTCTTGTCTTTGCTATCGGGGAGGGCGCTGCCCTGCTCGGAGCTGTAGTCTCTCAGCAGCTCCTCCTTACAGTCGGAATCTTTGTCCAGGAAGGCCCCAGGGTCCAGCTCCCCCAGGCCGGCCACAGAGCCACTGGGCTCCATCCCGGGGGCTTTGGTGGCTGCTGTGCCGGTGGGCACGTCGGAGGGCTCAGGGTCAGCGATGCTTGGGGGTCTCGTGCTGCTTCTGCTGGGCCCAGACAAGGGGCTGCTCTGCGCGCCCTGGGGGCCCCTGGGGGGGTCGGCGCCTGGGGGGCTGCCACCCGTAGGACCACAAGGTGCAGGCAGCTGCTGCTGCTGGAGCTGGAAGGCACTGTACGGTGGGGGAGGAGTCGGAGGTCGGTTCACCACTTCCTCATAAGGAGGTAGTAAATAGTTTGGCAAAAACCCTAAAATGGGGAGGCAGGGAGGAGAAATTACTGCACTGGCAATTGTTCTAGGACAGAGTGCAGAGCTTGCACTCAACATATGCCTCTTCCCACCCTGGGCATACCCACTGAGCGACAACTATAGCTCCTGCTTGTCAGCAGGGCAGAGGGGTGGGGCAGTTTTGTGGAAAAAAAGGACAGCCTGGGAGTGACCTAATCTAGCTTCTTGAAATCTGAGAGCCCCTAAACCTGCTTCACAGGCAAGATCTTCTGCCTGTCTGGAGTCAAGGGGTGGACGGCCAAGAGATCATTTCTGCCCACAGCGTTTCTGTTTCCACATGCCCCCGGGTCTCAGGTTTCTTGTTCAGACTGTGTCCTTCATCTATGTCCCATAGGCCTCAGTGTCAGGGACCCTCATTTAAGACTTCTTGACTACGTTTTTCTTGTCCCCCACCATCCCAGATGTATGGACCATGAAAAGGGCCTTTTTCTGGGAGATTAGAAATCCGTGTTGTCCCTCCCTCTAGTGTGGACGGAGGTGGTCTGGAAAGACAAACCGAACCTCATCTTGACTCAGATTGGGAGCAGGTGGGTTACCAGCAAAGGGTGAGGGGCCTGCCAAACAAGGCTTATTACCAACATGCCAGGTAAGTTATCTTTTGAATGTGCTGGGTATCTCAAGGCACAGATGGTTTGGTTAAAACAATAACTGCTAGCATTTACTGAGCACTTACTATATGCCAAGCACTGTGCTAAACACTTGACACTTCTAGATGTGGAATTCCATACCCATGACCACTTTGTTCTGTAGAACACACTGTAGAATGGCTTTGGACAAGCTGGGCCTCCCTGGACTCTTAGAGGGTCACTTGTAAGGAACCCCCAGAGAAGTTAGGTGAGTGTCCTTCGGTGAGTCACGCAGTTTCTTGGTTCTCAGGACATCCCAATGTCACCCCGCACACACACCTGCCCCTTTCATGGCAGCCTCAGGGATATCACAGGGCACTAAGCAAAATGGGAGGATTTCAGGCCACAGAAATCTAAGTCTTGATTCACTTGCATCATACACCATCTGACTATCTGACTACCTGCCTTAAGAAAATAGGCCCATGTGGATTTGGAATGACCCAGTGGCTTCAGGGCACAGTACCTGCTCCTCTGTGCTAATGGTGAGCACCCCCCTATTCCCATACCTGCGAGAGAGACTCTGCACTGTGCTGGGCACGGGGGCCTACAGGGGCCCACAGTTTGTGTCCTGGGCTCAGAAGGATGGAGTTTGGGGGCTTTTGGTGTACGTACTGAAATAAAATGGCAGCGCTGAGTAATTGTGGGCTTCTCGGTAGGCAATCAGGTTGATCTCATGCTGCCGCTGCTGGGCCTGAAGGCGATGCTTGGCTCGGCGGTGGTGGCACACACAGCAGCAGCTCAGGATGATGATGATGGTCCACACCAGCCAGAACCCTGGGGGCAGGGAGGCAAGGCAGAGAGGCACACATGCATGGTGAACACCAGCCAGAGGAACAGCTTTCCCAGCAGGGAAGTCCCTGGCCGGCGCCCACCTGGTCGAAGCTGACACTGCCTGTCTCACCTGGTGAATTTCCATTTGGAATCTGTGTTCAATTTCTATAAATGTTTGTGCCAGAATGAAAGATGGGGTGGGAGGGGGCAGAAGGCAACTCTCCAGCACCACTGGTCCTGTGTTTTGGGTTTGGTGGACATTACATATGCTGACCTTTTAAGGACTATGTATTTGTCCTCTCTTAAGGGATCTCAGAGAAAGTGCTTCTGGCTTTCTTCTCACCTGTCTCCCACTCTCAACCCCCAAGCTCTGCTCAAGACATTAAGACTGGTTCCCAGCCTCACTTCCTGCTGCTATACCAGGCTACTCACCAAAAGCAAAGAGCCCCTCAAAATCCCAGCAGGTTGGCAACTGGGAGGCCCTGCAGACGGGCCACCCGATAAAGGAATTCTTAGGGTTCTCTTGATATCACCAAAAAGATCATGGGCTTTTCTCTACCAGATACACGGTGTAATACAAGAGTCACTAAAGTTACAGGGGAAAAAATTCTAATTGCCTCAGGTCCATCTCTTCCCTAGAGAGCATAAATGACTTCCCCTGCTCTTGATATAATCTGGTATAATTCCATCTCCTACAGTTGCAAATAACACTCCCACCTCCCTTTGGCCTGTGATTACATTAGACTCAAGGCCATCAGCAGCCTCCCCTCCTTCCTCCTTGCTCCAGAGAGGGATAGGTATAAGGGGACAGGGGAGAAGACCTACAGTCCTCCTTCTTCAGGAGGATTCCTTCTTCTCGTTTCCCACAGTGTTCTTGGATTATATTCAGAGAATCCTGACAAACCCCCATATAAGACACCCCCTCTCCAATCTTCAATTGTAAGCAGAAACCCTTTTTTAAAAAGCTTTTTATAATCAATGAGCAATTTTGCTTTTAAAAAAATACACATATATATACATATGGGAGGAAAGAGACTAGAAGGAAAAACACAAAAGGAGTGACATACCTTTAAGTGGTGGGATTATGAGAAATTTCAATTTTTGCCTTCACATTATAAAACTGGAAACAAAGTAAACTTAAAATACCTGTGACTATTTTACTTTTTTTTTCTAGCTTTTATTTAAAGAACTTAAGAGGATGGGGGCATCTGGCTGGCTCAGTCATTGTAGCATACAACTCTTGTTTTGGGGGTTGTGAGTTCGAGCCCCACATTGGGAGTAGAGATTACAAAAAAAAAATTAATTTCTGGAGAGGTTTTTAAATTTCTCTAGAATGTATTCATACAATGAAATAACATGAATCATTTAAAAATATTCACAGATTACTACTTCTGACATATAAAGATGTTTCTAGGGGATCCCTGGGCAGCTCAGTGGTTTAGCGCCTGCCTTCGGCTCAGGGCGTGATCCTGGAGTCCTGGGATTGAGTCCCACATGGGGCTCCCTGCATGGAGCCTGCTTCTTCCTCTGCCTGTGTCTCTGCCTCTCTCTCTCTCTCTCTGTGACTATCATAAATAAAATTTTAAAAAAATTTAAAAATAAATAAATAAATAAATAAATAAATAAATAAATAAATAAATAAATAAAATCTTTAAAAAAAATAAATATGTTTCTAATATTAAATGAAAAAAGCAAGGCAGCCCCGGTGGCGCAGCAGTTTAGTGCCGCCTACAGCCCGGGGTGTGATCCTGGAGACCCGGGATCGGGATCGAGTCCCACGTCGGGCTCCCTGCGTGGAGCCTGCCTTTCCCTCTGCCTGTGTCTCTGCCTCTCTCTCTAAATAAATAAATAAATCTTAAAAATAAAAAAATAAATAAATAAAGCAAATTACAGAACAGTATAAAATCTGATCCTAATTTTTTTCCTTCAAAAAGAAAGTATATAGGGATGCCTGGGTGGCTCAGTTGGTTGAGCGTCTGCCTTTGGCTCAGGGCATGATCCTGGTCCCAGGATCAAGTCCTGTGTCAGGCTCCCTGCGAGGAGCCTGATTCTCCCTCTGCCTGTGTCTCTGCCTCTCTCTCTCTGTCTCTCATGAATAAATAAAATCTTTAAAAAAAAAAAGTATATATGAATATCTAGAAGGATGGTTAGGAAGTTCATCATGAGGTTATTTCTGGTACTAGATCTCTTGTTTTTTGCTTATCTGCATTTCCAAGCTTTCTAAGACGAACATGTACTTCTTTGTTTTTTTTTTTTTTTTTTTTTTTTATTTTATTTATGATAGTCACAGAGAGAGAGAGAGAGGCAAAGACACAGGCAGAGGGAGAAGCAGGCTCCATGCACCGGGAGCCCGATGTGGGATTCGATCCCGGGTCTCCAGGATCGCGCCCTGGGCCAAAGACAGGCACCAAACCGCTGCGCCACCCAGGGATCCCCAGAACATGTACTTCTTTGAAATAAAAAGAATATTTTTTTCTGAGTAAAAATATTTATCTGAGGAATAATTTTAAGGTGATTTGTTATTGGGACACACCTAGCTCAGTTGGCTGAGCATCTACCTTCAGCTCAGGTCATGATCCCAGGTTCCTGGGATGGAGCCTGTGGCAAGCTCCCTGCTCAGCACAGGGTCCACTTACCCTTTGCCTCTGCCCCTCCCCCAGCTTGTGCTCACGTGCTCGCTCTTTCCCCGCCCCCCAAGTAAATAAAATCTAAAAAAGAAAAAAAAATGTTATTGAGACTAGGTGATCATTCATTTGCTATTTCTGAATAACTTCAATTTCTTTCCATTACCAAGGCTACATGTATTTTGTATCACCTGCTTTTTTTTTTTTAATTTTTATTTATTTATGAGAGAGAGAGAGAGAGAGAGAGAGAGGGGCAGAGACACAGGGAGAGGGAGAAGCGGGCTCCATGCACCGGGAGCCCGGTGTGGGACTCGATCCCGGGTTTCCAGGATCGTGCCCTGGGCCAAAGGCAGGTGCTAAACCGCTGCGCCACCCAGGGATCCCGTATCACCTGCTTTGTAATTATACTTTTGTGTTTAGAATTTAAGTATTTAAGTATTCCCACATGTATCTCTTGTCAGAATGAGTTAAGATCATTAAAAAAAAAAAAAAAAACAGGGCTCCTGGCTGGCTCAGTCGGTAGAGTACCTGACTCTTAACTTTGGCGTTGACTTTAAGCCCCACATTGGGTGTAAAGCTTATTTAAAACCAAACAAAACCAAAACAAACTTTCCCCCAAGTAAACATGTATATGAATACACCTCTGACTTTTCTATTTGTACCAGAATACAATATTCGAAAAGATCGCACTGATCTTTAGGGTGTGGTCTCAGGCAACGGCTTTTTGTCCCCTAAAGGTGTTCTCACTGAATCACCCACAAAACCACCCCCACAGAGTAAGAAGGGAGGGCAGTAAGGCCACCTGGCCCTGGCAGGCTGGCAGCACCACCATATGACACCTAACATGCTGAAAGCAGTTAACTTAACTGCTTTCAGCATGTTAGGTGTTCAGTGGAACTTGTCAGTGTTCAGGGGAACTTTCTGCTGAGGCCTGACAAAAAGAGAATGGGCAGAGGACAACAGGTGGCGGATTTCTACCCTTTATCCCATTGGCAGGCAATAAAACCCTCGTAGCTGGCCAGCTCAGTCAGTAGAGCGTGTGACCCTAGATCTCAGCGTTGTGGGTTTGAGACCCATGTAAGGTATAGAGGTTATCTAAAAATAAAACCTTGGGATCCCTGGGTGGCGCAGCGGTTTGGCGCCTGCCTTTGGCCCAGGGCGCGATCCTGGAGACCCGGGATCGAATCCCACATCGGGCTCCCGGTGCATGGAGCCTGCTTCTCCCTCTGCCTGTGTCTCTGCCTCTCTCTCTCTCTCTGTGACTATCATAAATAAATAAAAATTAAAAAAAAAAATAAAAATAAAATAAACCTTGAAAAAATATAGTAAGATGTAACCAGAAAACATATACATAAGTTGAAGTCAGAAGTCTCCCTTGTGGTCCTTCCCAGATTCAAAGCTGACATTTGCTTAAGTTCACTTATATTTCTCAATCCCTGCGGCTGGTTGACTCAACACTAGATAAATACTGTCACAGGAGCCCTGAGAAGTGGGGGTAAGGCCAGAAAAGAGCATTGGGAGCTAAGTGGCTCCCTGATGTTGTCCTATAACATCCTCAGCGCCAGTCTCCTTGGGGGGGGGTGGGGGGGCTGCACAGGAGAGAGGGAGGCAGCACAAACAAGCACAGTGCCTTCTGCTCAAGGGTCCGGCTCTAGACGTATTTCAAAGAACTGTCTAAGAGTTTCTGGGCTAATCACTCTTCCATATTACCTGCATTTCTCTCACTTGCCCAGCATCATTATCTCACAATCCTTTATACTTCAGTACTGTGTTCTAATTCTAAAACTACATTCTCCCGGGCAGCCCCGGTGACGCAGCGGTTTGGCGCCCCCTGCAGCCTGGGGTGTGATCCTGGAGACCCGGGATAGAGTCCCACATCGGGCTCCCTGCATGGAGCCTGCTTCTTTCTCCCTCTGTCTGTGTCTCTGCCTCTCTCTCTGCGTCTATAAATAAATAAATAAAATCTTAAAAAAAATAAAAATAAATAAAAGTACATTCTCCCATGAGATAATTGCATCTAACTCGACTAGTTTACCTCCCAAGTCATTTTTTCAGTAGTTTCTTACCTAAAGGTAAACCAACATTTAACCTTTATGTTGCCATATAAATGATCTAGAGGCAATATTTCTCATTTTATAACATGATTTTATTTTTTAATGTTTTGTTGTTTGTTTTTCTTTTTGTTTTTAAGTAAACTCCACCCTCAATGTGGGGCTCAAACTCACAATCCCATCACGGAGAGTCACATTGCTCTATCAACTGGGCCAGCCAGGCAAGACTTTATTTTTTTTAACACATGCTTTTAATAAGAAACATCTCAGATACTGATTTTCATATGTTGGCCACATATTTCTGGTTTTCCCCTTCTGGGCATTTGGG